ACAGCTTGTTTAAACTGTGGGTTGTTAAATAACAATTTGATTGTAGCCTTGCTCCTGTGTGCAGGTAATCACCTATTCTTTATTTTTGGCATAAAACTTAAGGCATCAGGAATTCAGTTTACAATTACATTAGCTTACTGGTTAAATGTATTAAATGTTATACGACAGTTCACTATGTTGGAAATCACACCTACAGTATGAAATGCACTTAAATGTCAGTATTTACCAAATAACTCTGGGTCACACCATTCATAACAAGTTACAAAGTATCCAGCTTGCGGTGAAGAACCGACCAAATTAAATACTTACAGAAAAGGCACTATTAGTGCTGTTTGGAAAGGATTAGCTTCCCATGAGTTAGTTTCAAAGAGAAACAGTAGTACAGATATACTAACATGATTACATTATTTCTAGAGTTTCATATACTTATAAAATGGCCCCTTTGTTTCCAGTGGTTTCCTCGGTGGGGTCAAAGGTGAGAAGCTCTGGTCTTGTTTGCAGGTCCAAAGCATGGCCAGTGATAAATGAGAGGACTCAGTCATTCATCAAACGTAGTGGTTTATCTTTACTTAAAACCCTCATAAAGGAAATTGTATATTTACACAATACTGTACTCCTCCTTTGTGAATTAAAAAGATAAAATAAATAAAACATCTGTTGTCACTGTCCCTTTGACATTAAGAACCGCAGACTTGTGGAACCCGCAGCAGTAAACATACTTCTTCTCTGTGAGGACAGTTTTATGTACAAAGTGTGTGTGAGCTGCAGTGTTTTCCTCAAAGTACCCAGGCCCCTCTGACAGCTGCAGACTGGGATCAGCCGATGAAGGTCAGAGCGGCCATGATGCTGAAGCCCAGCAGGATGAAGAGCACCTTCAGAAGCTGCTTCCCGGGGGAGTTGAGCTCATGGGGGAGGATCTCCAGGAAGGTGATGTAGATGAAGGTCCCCGCAGCGAGGCCCTCCAGGACCGCCTGTATCAGAGCGCCCGCCGCCAGCTTGGCCTCCATCACGCTGATGCCGATGGCGATGCCTATTGGTGACATCATGGCAAACACGCTGATGTAAGCAGCGACCCACAGCGGACGCACTGCGCTCTGCACCAGCTTCACCGACAGGCTGAACACGATGATGCTCTTGTGGACAAGGATCGCTATGCAGATCTCTAATACCTGGAGGAGAAGAGAAAGAAATGTTATGGTTATTTTTTGCCTCCAACAGCTTCTAAATAAACACAAACAATAGAAAATGTTGAGGATTTTGTGTAAAAAGGCTGGGATGAATTTTAGTGGTTAAATATGAACAGACAAAATACGATAATATACAACAATATAATTGTACATTTTTGATATATTACAATTGTGGATTTTTCCAAAAAAAACACTGAGTGATTTGACTGGTATCGGTTTTAGAATAAATCAATCAGTACAAAAAGTCAATTTTTCGTCAATTAACTGACAGGCTGAGGTTGATTACATTTCCATCCAATGGTGATGCAAGTGTTTATCCACAACACTGATACTTCATTAGCACTATGAGAAAAGCCATAATACGTAAATTACTGGATGAACTGACTCCCCTTCTATATAGCAGAACCAAGTCACCTAAATAGACGTTCTTCCTGCATTTGATCAACAACATAGTTGAGCCTTTTTCAATCACAGTATTTATTAATGCACTTATTGCAAAGTGTTGATATAATGTATTTTTAGATTCATAATATTTCAGACCAACTGCCTTTGGTTTTATTTTTTTAAATACTAAAAAGGACATTACCTGGAGAACAGGCACATAAAAACATGCATGCAGATACAAAGTCCTGAGGGTTGTTGTAAGTATGCTCAGACTGTGAGTCTGTCTTGTGACCTGAAGAAACAGATCTGACTCTCATGACAGCGAGATTCACTTTCTGTCCTGAAGCTACAAACAAAAACCCGTTAATCTTCTGGCATTATGCTGGGAACTTGATTCCAACTTTATTTGAGCAGCATTTTTCTAAGATATGGCTTTATTACATGTCATGCAAAGAGCATAAAATGTGATGAAGCCTGAAGAATGAGAAAGGAAGCAAGGTTAACAGGGATGTCAGCTATGTTCCGCCATCTATTTTATCAAAAATGTTTGAATCAAAATTATGAAGCTCAATTTTTAAATGTTTAATGAACATGTGCAACCTTCTCCAGTGACACAATGAGCAGAATGCACGACCCCTATGAAATCAGGTGTAGTACTTGTGGGTGTTTTACCTTTGAGTCTGTGCTCTGCAGGCCAATAGCAAGACCTTCAAAAACTGAGTGGAGGGAGAGGGAGAGGAAGAGCATGAAGGAGCGAAAGGGGGAGTGGGCCTGAAAGTCTACATGGACATGTTGGCCGCTCCCCTCCAGATCAGGATTTGTTCCATGGCCATGTCCATGTCCGTTCCTGTTGTCCGCCATCAGGGGGGACCTCTCCTCCTGAGACAATGCCGCCTCTCGACAGTTCAGGACAATCCTCTCCAGAATGAGAACCATGAAGAATCCAGCAGCCATGATGAACTCTGCCAGGGGGAAACTGGTCTGTTTGAGAGAGAGAGGAATGAGTCTGATTGTAAACAGAACATTATTCCTATAAAGACCCTCAGTCATACAGGATAGGATATCTAAAACTGCTGTCAAACGCAACTGCAACAGATGGTTATTTTTGAAGAATACATATGTTCTTTACAAAGTTTATGTTATTTTTCTCTATTCAGTTAATACAGCTAAAATATGTGTTATCCTTTAACTGAATAAAATAGCTAACAGAGATGTTGTTTTAGTACTTCTAAATAGACTACATTATGTTTATCAAGCAGGGAGATATGACATCTCAGCATTGAGTGTATGATGTTGTAAATTAAGTAATTAGTTGGATGACAGAATTCTTAAACAATTTTGAAAATCAGTTAATCATTTGAGTATAATATCAACTAAAACACTATATATTCTCTCTGCTTCCAGAACCTCAATCTGTTTAAGAGGTACAGTTGTTCTCTGTGAAATTGAAATATGCATTTTATAAAAAATACATTGGTCCCATTATTTGACACGTGGACGTACCTCCACCTTCCGAACATCCAGCTCAGCGCTGATGTCCGACAGATAATCTGGAATGATGTCCAGCAGACATGCTGCCAGAAAAACCCCACCAGCAAAACAGCTGATCAGACTCAGAACTGTGCTGTGCAATTCTGCAGGAAGGATAAAAGATAAAAAAGCATTAGACTTTTGTTTTAACATGAGCTTACAACTATACAATAACTACGGTGATAACAGTTAAAGCATTGTCTAAATCTAGCCTCAGTTTTGTGTGTGACTGCTGTTGTGCATTTTAGAAACTTTATTAGCAAATCATGATTCCATATGTGACTGAATGGGGCATTTAACATTTTCTCACTTGTTTGTGTCAATTGGTTTAAATGTTTAGTGAATATTATGTTACTGAACTGGTGTATAGCTGATTTATTGATGGTAATTCTTGGAGACTGATTAAATCCCTGCCTTTCCTTCCTAAACTATTTGAACATCATGTGACACATGATCATGAAAGAACAGAAGTCCATATGACTCAGCAAACCACTGAAACGCATGCGGATATTATGGGGAGAAATGAAACTCTCACTTCCATTTAAGAAAGTCAAAGTTCATCTTTAGACCCTTGTTCTGCCTGTTATGAGCAATTACATGTGAACATAAGCTGAGAAGGCTTTTGGCTTTAGGCTCTCCAAGCCTGTCAGCTGACTGCAGGGGTGAGAGGAGGATTTATTAATGCTAGCAAATAACTTACACATTTAGGTTGAAACACACTAAAATGACAAGATAATGGTGTAATGAGTAATACAATTCTCTCATGATCACAATGGATATGTTCTAGGGAAATAAAACATTGTCCAAATAAATATTAGATTAAACACTTTATCACTACTCTTTAATCACTACGTTAATGTGTTCTACAGTCACAGTTGATCAAATCAATAGCAGTTAATTGATATACAATACTCCAGCTAAAACATGTGATTCATTGAGCTGGTAAACCACTTCCGGACCCTAAACCACACTGCATTAAAATCACGGGGAATTTACACTTGGTTTCTTTATATGCAAATGATTTAACATCGTAGAACAGAGATGACTACTGTACTTTAATCAGCAACTTTCTGATTTAAATTCGGCATTGATTAACTCCCGTTGATGAATTTAGCTTGTGTTTAAATTATTTGAAATGTGAAAGTGAAAGAAATAGACAATTTTATGAACACCAGTGCTAATGTTAATGAATCTTAGGTTATATCATTATATAAAACGAAAGGTTACCGACCTGTCCCGTGTGTGTCTCTGAACCATTTGATCCGAGCAGGAATTAATCCGAAGAGAAGCGTAAGGAGCAATAACCCGACCAGAGCGACTATCTTCACTTGGAGCAGGTAATCCATTTTGTAGCATAAAACGGTCTATTCAAATGTTGACAACCTAACTATTCCATCATGTCTTTAGCTATGGGGAAACCTGGAGCTTGCTAATCGCTGTGAAGATAAGAGTTTCACTGAGACAAGCACACATTTAATGTTGTCATTTGGGATCTGAGGTACGGTGGTCGCAAAGGGTCAAATATAATCTATCGCGAAAACAACCAACCAGCAGCCGGCCCAAAGGTCTCTCTTTCACTAGCATTACAGACGAACATATTACTAGTTACTAGGTACGTTCGTACCATTTTGAGACACTTGTTCTTTAATGAAGAATTTCCATTTCATGCAACTTTATGCTTTTAGTACACAATATATTGTAGGCAGATATTGTACTACGTTTTTGTTTAGTAAATAGTTAGCACACTTCTAGTACTCATATTGACTTTATGATAATAAATGTATAATCATAAACTAAATAACTTTAATAAATAACAAAAACATTTAATTATTCCCTATAGTATGGTTGATATGTTTAAAAGGCCAGCAGATGGTGCCCCGGTACCAAATTTCACTCGCGTACCAAACACTCGCTTGATGACGACATTTTCATGCGCCGGATATGTCGACCACCATCAGAAGAAGATACTTATGCTGATGTGTTATAATAAATCACACCGCCGACAATGTTGTGAGTTTATCATTTGATGCGGGATAATATAAGAAGGCAGAGAGTCACAGGTCGATGTCAAAGAAGACGCAGAGCAGGAAATCATCAGAGAGCGAATGGCGGTGAGAAACACAGAAACACTGACTGACTCACTCTGCATTTACACACAGTCGTTATGGCCATCACAATGGAAAGTCATTCTGTCATCGTCTACAAAACAAGTGGTCAAAATGCTTAACAATGTTGTCAATATAACAGTATCCTATTTTCTGATGTAAACTATGGCTATGGACAATGATTGAATGTGCACAGGGCTGCCATTGTTTTATCTGGTGTCGTGTATCAATTTCAACAGTACTAAGTATATTACTGCATTTGGGAGATGATTTCACAGAGATTGGACAAAGATTTACATTTACCCCTTTATGGTTTAACTGGGATTTGTTTATAGACCTTGCTATTGTGATTCAAACAAGAAAAAGACTGTTTAACAGCACTGCATCACACAATCTGACCTGAGGTATTTTAGAGAACTGGCGGATCATTGGTTAATGTAACCTTTCACACATTATTATAACCCTTCATTAGTGAAAGTCAAGATTAACTCACACTGAAGGACACATTCACTAGGCACAATAATATATACAATATGCTTAACAGATTACGAAATGAATGCTTGTAGTATGCAATAAACTAATGACTTGATGTTTTGGGGTTAAGGCTATTTAAAAGAGAAGCAGCACAATAAATATTAACCAACATGACATAAACAGTCAACAGTTATTAACAGCTGATGTTGCTGTCATTCAGATACAGTGAGAACACCAAAGACTGCAGAACAAGTTAACAAATAATAATATATTTTAAGTCAGTTTTCTCCAAATACTGAAAATGTTGTTCTGTTTCATGACATTTAATGGTGTGGTAGGTCATTTTGGAGAAACTAGCTCGAGTGCACTAGAATTTGAAAATACACAGGGTGTTTCTCAATCTCGAGGATGCTTGCTTGGTAGCACATGTCTTCCGAGCGTCTTGCTTCAGAAGCGAGGCAAGAATACTTCCTGGCATTCGGAAAGCAAAGAGTGGAACAGGCTAGCAAGTGTGCAGGTGTGCGTCATATGTGAGGCCCCGCCTTGGCGCCTTACATTTTCCGCAACAGATTTGGGGAAATTGGTCCGTGCGCAAAGCATTGTGGGGATTTGAAGGACGCGAAGTCTACCCATGTGCAGCCTCAAAATTATCCCCAAACCAAGGACGCGGCCTCGGTGGAATTCCAAGTATGCTGGAGATTGGAACAGTCCTTCGGCGGCACTCGATGACGTAGTATCCTTGAAATATTGGCTTGGAAGCCAGTTTCCTCGCGATTGAGAAACGGCCACAGATTTGGGGAAATTGGTCCTTGCGCAAAGCATTGTGGGGATTTTAAGACCACAGAGTCTGCACATGTGCAGCCTCGAAATGTCTCCAAACGAAGTACGCCCGGCTCGGTAGAATTCCAAGTATGCTGGACATTGGAACAGTACTTCGGCGGCACTCGATGACATAGTATGCTTGAAATATTGGCTCTGGCGCAGCTTTACTCGAGATTGAGAAACACCCACAGCCGGAGAAAATCTGCCACTTCCTTACAGAGCCCCTCCTCCAACACACACGAACGCGCACATGACCAATGAGGGCACGAGATAAGTTTGCACAGATGGAAGGCTGACAGGCAGGTAGGCCATCCAGTTACTTTAGCCGGGCCGGCTAAAATGATTGGTCGTGCTTTTTACAGTACTACGGCTTCCACAGATGACGTTTTTTTATGGATCTTTTGTCAAAGCACTTAAGATATTCATTGCTATCGGGACGTTAAGAGCATTCCATGGAATATAACAAAAAGTATATCTCGAGCCGGTTTCTCAAAGTTACCTACCCCACCTTTTAAGATGTGCCAAACATGGTTTTTATGATCAAAAGTGTATTCACTTCCAAGACTATAGTCTAAATCAACAATCTGTGGAAAGTCTTTACTGCTTTCCTTTTTCTTATAACATTGCGATTTAGATATTTGTAGATGTTTACGATGTTGGTCAAACAAAGGAAGATATTGGAAAACTCTGTCAAGTTGAGCTGACCATTTTTGACAGTTTCTTGACGTTAAAAAAATATTAAAAGATTATTGATTCATTGAGAAAATGATCTGCATTATAGGGAATGAAACATATCTGTAGTTACAGCCCTAACCAGATTATAAGCTCACATGTCATAAACTCATTATGCGGACTACTCAGGTTTCGTTTAAACACACCGTAATTTAAGATCTGACTTTGTATTTAATTACAACTTCGCAAGGGTGAAATGATTTTCTTTGAGGAATGTAATCAAATCAAAAAAGTTGTCATATAAAACGTTTATTAACATCATGCCAACTTTTTGGAGTGTGCATAAAGGAGCACAACAATTACAAAGATTTTTAGGATTATATTTACTAAAAGGGATCCCTTTGTCTGAAAGTAAATAAGGGGAATATAAAAACACCTTTGTTGTTTTTTTTCCTGATATTTTATTGCTACCAGAAGGAGCCAAGGTACAGCTTTACCAATCATTAAGCTTGATTTCAAGGTTACAAGCAAGCCTTGTTATTATTTAGGGTTGATCTCTGATTAGCTGTGATCCTTAAATCATAAGATGTGACACGTTACATTCACAAATCTAAATCAAAGTTTGCAGATTAAGTGTTATTTATCAGAATCTATTGGATAATTGTCAGATATCAAGTCGCATGTACTGCCTTAAGGAATCAGGAAGTCTGGCAAACCACAAAAACAGCTTGCCTGAAAAGCTGTTTTGCATTTGTTTCAACTTAATATGAATGATTTGGTTAATCATGCTGAATCTGCTCTCTGTGTTTGCAGCCCAAAGGGAAAGTCGGCACAAAGGGGAAGAAGCAGATCTATGAAGAGAACGAGGCGACGCTCAAGTTCTACACCAGAGTCATCCTAGGAGCTAACGTAAGAACCTCAATGGAAAGGTTGTGTCACTCTGCAACTCACAACAACAGTTATTTTCCTATCAAGTCATTCTCCAGAGTATTTTGTTCCCCATTAATTAGGTAACTGTTTGGGTTCTGAAGCGTATCTTCGGTCACAGCATTCAATTAGCTTGTTTTGTCTGACTAGCAGCCTAACATCTTAAGATATTCATATGCAATGAGGAGAAACAGCAAATCACACCACATTAAAGAAGTTGAAACAGATAACGTTTGACATGATTGCTTTAAAGGTAACTGAAATTATGATTTATGAAATGACTATTGAATGAATTGTCAGACTGCTAATAGGTTATTCAACTAATAAGTGCAGCTTCATTAGACTGACATGTTATCCAGCCTTCTTACATATATACTGCTCCTCTTTTACAGGCTATATATGCTGTAGTCAATCTTTTGGTTTTCTACAGTTCCTCTTCCTTTTCGACATGGGTGAGTTGAGTCATCTTGTAGTTTATTAACTGTATTTACTCAATAATATGTGTTAATCTCAATATGCCAAATCCTCCCTAAACCATTGTGTTCCTCCTGCAGCTGATGCTTGGGTTCGCTCTATCAGTGTATATGGGGAGTTACCGCTCCATGACCTCCATGGCCAAGGCTGCGTTTGCTGAGGATGGAACTCTCCTGGACGGAGGAATAGACTTAAACATGGAGCAGGGGATGGCCGAGTGAGTAATAAGAGAAACTCCTCATTTAGCCTACATAGGCGATGAAAAGAACATCAACATTACTTCTCAGCCTCCTCGCTGCGTAAAGGAAGTTTGTAAATAAAACAGTAAAATGTTTTAATTGTTGTTTTGTTTTCTGTGTCCCTTTACCCTTGAAACTAAACTTGGTGACTCAAATCTTCTTGTGCAGAAACATGTCAGTGAGAGTTAATTATGTGTGTGTGTGTTCTTGTTTTAGACACCTGAAGGACGTCATCCTGCTCACAGCCATAGTGCAGGTGCTCAGCACGCTCTCCTCTTATTTCTGGTATCTCTGGATGCTGGTAAGAATACTTCTCTTAGCACTCCCCCCCCCTGATATATCCTATGACATAGCTGTTGATTTCTTTATCCTTGTCTTCCCCTTGGATTTCCTCTTTTCTCACTATTTGATCTTGTCTTCTGTGCGTGTCTCAGGCCCCGTTCCGAGCGCTCCACCTGCTCTGGACCAACTTCTTGGGCCCCTGGTTTATGGCAGACAGCCCGTCGGCACCGGAGGAAGTGAACGAGAAGAAGCAGAGAAGACAAGAGCGCAGACAGATGAAGAGATTCTGAGGCTGCAGGGCAGACAGAGCAGTATTTTTATACACAGAATCTAATATACAGATAACGAGGAACTCATAAGTTATTCAGGAAGACATTTCGTTATTAAGTTAAACTCAATCTGAATCCAATACTGTGGAATCTTGTTTTCCATGTTTGTTTTTTCTGATTTATCATGAAATCTAATTTTCTCCCTCAACTATTGAATGAGATGTTCTGTATTTGATAATGTCACGGTCTAAATGTCATTAATCCTCATGCAGAGATTTAAGAGTTTTGACCAATGCACAATCCCTTCTCACTGCCTCCTGCAGATTCCCATCAAACAGAGACGGGTCAAAAAACAGCTGAGTTTATCCATTTCTGTCTTGGAATGTCTTTTATTTTAATTATGTTTAATTTTATAATGTTCCTTCAGTGGACCTTCCTGACTGACCTGATTCTGTATGTGAGCTATTAAGTCTTATAAAATGAACACAATGGATAGAAGTTTTAATAGAAAAAAAACGTTTTGCAATAAAAAATCTCCCTCCAGTCGGTGGAGTCGATCATCTTTTGTGTTTATATTTGCTTTCAGTGTGGTTTGTTCACGGGATGCCTTCAGTCATCAGTTTTTTTTAATTTTTATATTAGGCTAAAGGTAGCTTTAAGTGGCCTAATAAAAACACTTGCACCATAAGAAGCAGTTAAATGGCTTTGTCGCCTAGAGGATTCTCTAAGTAATTGTATGGTGTTAAAATGTAGTTTGCAGAGATATGTGGAAATGAATTATCGTAAATCAAAAAAATGAATTTTGAGAATAAGTTGAACTTAAGTGTAGCATGAAGACTACATGGTCTTCAACTTGGACTGAACTTTCTTTAGTCTGTCAATTTTGTTAAGTATCCTAATAGCAATGTCATTTATCATATTAGAAACCTCTATTGGGGCCTTTTTTTTGTATGGCAGCAATATGTAATATAACTTAAAGGAATCAAATCAAATATCATCTTGTAGCCATATTTGTGCCGCTGCAAATAATTATTACATATACATTTCATGTGTTTATTATCTTTTAAGATTAAACAGTTTCTTGTTGATTATGTGAGATGTGAGTAAATTGGTGGAAAATGGAGAGAAAAAAGTCGGGCCCCCCCAACACAAATAGTCAGGCTCAGTGGCGGCGCCAGAGATTTATTTTGGGGGTGCTGTGGGGTAGCTTGACGTTTCATAGAGGGTGCTCAAACATTTAGGGTTTCCCATTAAGGTACCGGGCGCTACAGTGAAATGTTCTACTGCAACACTCCCCACGCAAATACACAATGTCCCCGCGACTCGATAATCAGCTCACGGCATATAGGTGTAAGCAGGGGTAAAGTGCTATATTTACAGGTGGTGTGTGGATCTCACATAGGCGGGGGCAAAATTAAGAGATCTATGGATACAGCTCTCAACACCCAGATGAAACAGAACTGTAAACAGATTTGCTTTTTCTTTATGGATATTTTACAAATCACCCTTTTAAACTTTATTCTTTTTGTACTGTCATATAGTATTTCATACCTGTTTTTCATTTATTCTCTTATTTTTTATAACTATAATGATCATATAAACGTGTGCCTTGGAAATAATTGATTACATTAATCGTGACCAAAACATCTGAGACCCACTGAGATAACTTAGACGTTAACTATCTAAACACTCAGAGAGTCCTTTAGTTCACTGAGCCACTCAGTCTGAGAGGAGAGGACTCTCTTCCACCTTGTTGTTGAAAAAACTCCTTATATCCGTTAGCTAGCACCAGAAGCTAACAATAACGATCTCCGGTACTGGTGCGCTCTCTCTCTCTCGCTCGCGCACACAATTGCTCGTTCCACACACACACAGAGCCAAGCTTTAATGAAACACAGAGACCCAGATGTACTGTACTGTATCATATTATTTTCGAATCAATAATTTTTAATATTATGATTTTTTTTTTTTTTTTTTTTAAATAACCATTTTCCCTCCTGGTCTCCTGTCATGCCTCTGTGCCCCCCAGGGGTGGCGTGCCCCCCACTTTTGAGAACCACTGCCATAATCCAATGTGTTTTGAAAGGATGTCATCAACCCACAGTCATGTTATTCTTCAATTTGCATCAGCAAGCGCACAACACATCAAACCTGTATTTTTTCAAATGCTCTTAAAACTGTTCTCATATTTGAGGTTATAGATTTAAAATTAGAGCTGACAAATCAGTTCCTAGATGACAGTTTAATTCTCAAATACTGAATAAATGCCGACCACCTTTTGTGTTTCCATCGAGTGAGTTAAGCATTGTCCTCGATGGATAAATGTTATTTGATAACAAGTCTACTAAGTGACTTTACTCGTTCTATCCAGTGTTAACGTGTATTTAGTGATAATGTTCATGCTCTGACTCCAAACACAGTGAGTGTGCTCGCAAAGCCCAGATCTGCTCCCAATATATTACAGATTTCTCATTATTGGTGCATCGATGCTTCCCCAACTCAACAAGCCACAACCTGCAGGGTTCAGGTCTGAAGAGGAATGACCGCGATGGTGTGAATCCTGTCAAAAAGCAAGGAATTAACAACATGTGCCTTCATTTAAGAAACAAATTCCAACCTCTTTTACCTAACCCTTCCTAAAATATTTTTCAAAATGACTGCTTTTACTTTGCCTGTGTCCTTCCCTCCTTCAATCCTGCCCTGTGGTCCTACACTGTCTCTATTATAGGGTTATAAACAAAGTAACCAAAATTAAAGAAGCACGGCATCCAGTTGTCAGGGCCAATCCCAGATGTGGGCTTTGAGAGGGACCATGTTGCAGTGTAATTTAGCACTGGAGCCACTCACTCCCTGTAACCCCACCTCCTCAAAACTCACATACGCACTTTGTATTCTCTGTCTGTTTTGTTTTCTGTCGGAACATGGACAGAAATGGGGATTGTACATGTTTATTTCCACCTATTTGCAAGGTATTACACATTACATTGCATTTAGCTGACGCTTTTATCCAAAGCGACATACAATAAGTACATTCGACCAGGAAGACACAACCTTGAAGAAAACAGAATCATATAAGTACATCAGGTTTTATAGAGCCAAAACATTTCAAGTGCTACTCAACTGGCTTTAGATAAGCCAGTCCTTTATTAGTATATAAGTGCTTTGTTAATAGTTCTATCGCTCGAAGTGGAGTCGAAAGAGATGAGTTTTCAGTCTGCGCCGGAAGATGTGCAAGCTATCTGCTGTCCTGATGTCAATGGGGAGCTCATTCCACCATTTTGGAGCCAGTATAGCACCATTGAAACCCCGGAAAATGTACCTTGTTTGCAAACTATCTCCTTTTCCCTTTACGTAATATTGCAGCATTGTCTCTGCTCTTACTGTTAAATGCAACCAACACAGTACAGGGTGTAATCTCCCAAAATAACTTGCTGCATGTGAGAGTCCATGTCTTGGCTGCTGTTTTAAGATGGAGGGAGAAAAAAAGAGTGGGAGAGAGAGGTTCTTGTTTACCATGGCCGTAAAAAAAGGGTTCATCCTGACAAGATGAAATAAGGGAGTTGAAGCTGCATACCGTTTTCCAGACTTTGTGTGTGAGAAAAAAATCATAAATTCAAACCCGTTACAACAGTGAGAGAAACAAGAAGCATTTGACCTGAGATAGTAGGTATCAGTTAAAGTAGAGCCTTTAGTCTCTCCAGCAGTCACATTTTAGATCCTTGTACACTCACAGAGCCAGACAAAACAGGAAATGTGGGGGCATTTGGGCAACAGTCGAGCCTTTGACCCTTGAACTTCAGTGCTCCCTGTGGCTTTGAAGTGAAGAGAGAGAATCACAAGCAATTACATGCGATGCAGAGTGTTCCCTTGAACATTTAGCCTCCACTCTGTAAACAGTGTGTTTGGCCGAGCGCTGGGTGTAGTCTGCTTCAAATGTATAATCTCTGCTCAGTTTCCACCTTGTTTTGACTCAAACTAAACTGACCCAAACACTTCTCATATTCTGAGTGGCTTGTATTAGTACAAGACGCATTTTCATTTATCATCTACGTGCTTAACATTGCTAATAACAAATACGATTTCCAGCATCATCCTTTAGCAGAAATCATGACCAATATTTCATATGTTTTTTTTCACACTTTCACAATCAGAATAACATCTGCTTTCATTATATTCAAGGCAATGCAAACGTCTCTACTAACGATATCTTCAACACTTGGCATATCACACCGAAGCAAGGTTGAATAATAGCTCTACAGGTAAGACCTGCCGTGCGCGTGTGTGTGTGTGTGTGTGTGTGTGTGTGTGTGTGTGTGTGTGTGTGTGTGTGTGTGTGTGTGTGTGTGTGTGTGTGTGTGTGTGTGTGTGTGTGTGTGTGTGCGTGCGCACCAGGGGTGAATTTCATATTATTTTTTGCAGTAAGTTCAAAGATAGTGCTCATTTTACATTACTGTATATTATAGAAATGCTTGCCATATAGGCTGTGTTTACTGGAGATGGAAATGCTTTAGTTGGTGTTGTAGCTGAGATTCTTCCCGTTCCAATGATGTATGGGATGTATTGATTTGATACAAGCAAGCCAGTGTTTCATGTCATGGTCCGGACCCACCGGTGGGCCCATCAAGTTCAGCATTCACTGCACTCACTGTGATGAATATACAATAAGACACTGATACTGTTTTCCTCAATGAACATTTAGAGAAAGAGAAATATACCATAACAGAACGTGTGTGTGTGTGTGTGTGTGTGTGTGTGTGTGTGTGTGTGTGTGTGTGTGTGTGTGTGTGTGTGTGTGTGTGTGTGTGTGTGTGTGTGTGTGTGTGTGTGTGTGTGTGTGTGTGTGTGTGTGTGTGTGTGTGTGGAGATGTTTTCCATCTGCAGGATGAACATAATACACTCATACCCATTCATTTCTATGGCGGTCAATTCTGACCGAAAACATCATGGGTGTTTCACTGTTGAATAAATCACTCAAAATTCAATGCAAGTGTTGATCATCAAGTGTATATGTTCAGAGGCCTAGTGTGGAGGATAACATAAGGTCTTGAGGCAATTGGATGAAAAACACAATATGTATGATTAAAACAAAAGTCATTCGGTCTTTTTTGACCCAGAACGCAAGAAAAACTATAACAAAAAAACTGGAAGCTTAATTATAGAGATATAAATGATGAATCTGCAAATGTCCTGCTTTTGTTGTAGATCATAGCTCTTTTCCAAAGTTTCATGTCTCTTTGTCTGCAGTCAAAACAATCAATTGTAAAAAAAATGGGTTTATGAGACCGCTTAAAAAACAAAGGCAGTGCCAGCAGACCTAATATTAAGAGCTCTGTCATCAGTACAGAAAATATAACATCTTCATTTCAACCTGGATTCTGAAAATCATAAGCATCGGAAACATCCTGCAGATCTCAAGGTTGTTTGAGTCATTAATATCAGTCCAGCCTTGTTAGGACGTTTATATCAAGTTACTCAGCATTATCTGCCAAATCTTATTGGGAAGGCTATGAACCCGAAGGCATACAAGTTGTGTTTTGTCCGTTTAAATTAGCTGGCACCAAACAAACATGAT